TCTCCCGGTACACCTGCTGTCTGACACCCTCGTCCTCCGGCACTGGCACTTGATCAGTGAACATGATGTTCAGCCGAGAGAGTCGGGGGAGGAGGTTGGGAATGTCATGTTCCATAGTCGAGCACAAGAGCCCCATGGGGGAGATGTTGACGAAGGAAAGGTTTTCGAGTTCTGGGACCATGGAGAACAGGCTCGACAGGTTCGGCACCGACTCGGAGACATGCCCTGAAGGGTCGGGGATCTGGAGCGAGACCCCGAGGGCCTTCACTCTCGCAAGCAGGGTGGGGTGCGCCTCGTCGAAGATGGAAAGAAGGTCTCCAAGCGACCCAAGAGGGAATGTCTCCCAGAGGAGGACCTGGATGTTCGGGAATTTGCAACAGCAAGTGCTGCCTGTCGCGCGGGACAGCAACACATAAGGGTCGCCGTCGTAGTGGCAGTAGATGAGGTGGACAGGGCAAGTGCAATCGTCCAGTTGTGCGAGCGCGTCGCATACGGGTTGCTCGAGGTTGATTTCGAGAAATTCAACCAGGTCCACGGGCGAGGTGACAACAAAACGGCTGTGCGGAGGGGCGTCGAGAATCTTGTGCACCTCCCTGGCAATCTCCGCAATGATGCTGCCACCAGATACAGTGATATTCTTCAGGCATGGCAGAGAGACCTTGTCAGAACCCTCCAATGACGGCAGGTTGTCGACGGTAAGCTGACTGCTTGAAACGTCCAGGATGATGTCGACGAGGAGGGGTGCGCCGACCAGAAGTTCGAGAACCCAGTCCAACGAGTCCTCGCTCAGCCTTGCGTACGAGACTGTGAGCGATTGCAGTTTGGGCAGGCATGGCCCGGAACCATCAAGAATAAGCGCGATGTTGGTCAGGGAGAGGGTACGGAGGTTGGGGAAGGAATGATAGTGGACATCGCGCGCCGGCAGACACGATGCCCAGAGTGCCATGTCCGTGAGGTTTTCGAATACAACCAATGACGAACCAATAGAAGACGACGAGAAGAATCTGAAGAATTGGAAGATGTCGTCATGGTATTCCCCGTTGATGCTGATGGTTTGGAATTGAGGGCCAATGCACCTCAGTTTTTCCACGTATTCGGGCTCTGTCAGGGGGTAGTCGCTGATCCTGACGACGCCACGAATATGCAGAGGCAACTTGTACTGGCACATACTGAGGACGAGAGATACCATCAGGGGATGAGTGAAGTCGATTCGGGTCCACAATCCGGTGAAGTGGGCGATGGTGTCGTACCAGGATCTGCATACACGCATGAGCGTGTGGATCGACGTGTAGTATCGGGAGGTATTCGAGGACTGGACACTCGGTACAACGCGTACGTCGTCGCGTCCGGGAATGTGGCCAATGCAGTGGAGAAAGATGCACGTGAGAAGTTCAACGGGAAGTCGTTGGATACCTGGGTGGCCAAAGAAGTTCATGTTGGTTTGAGGTGGGGGCTGAGCCCCGTGGGTGCCGGCGACCTGCAAAATGTCTGCGAAGCGGGTCAGACATTCATAGCGTACCCCAAGGCATAGTCCCAACACACCTGGCAGAGGCTGACGTGCATCAGGTTCGCTTTGACGGTGTCGCGTTACCACACCCGCTTTGCCTGCGAGCATGGCCAAGTGAGAACCAAGCGGTAATTGGATAACTGGGCGACGTACCACTCGAACCTTTACCCCGCATAATCTTCCGAGGGCTGAGAGAACCCATGAGCACAGAGAGGATGAGGGGGGAGGACCTGTGGCTGGTGCCGTCTGTAGAGTAGGTGGACAAGTTGAAGTTGAGAGAGGAGAGTTCCAAATTGGAAAGAGCAGGCATGAGGCGCTTTCGTACTCCGCGAGCAGTCACTAGGGAAAGAGGCCCAAGGGCCATTGTTATGCCCGGGACTCGGTATAAGCGCCGGTGACCGGCGTTGCCTTGGCCTGCTGGCCACGAATGATATCTTCTCCTACAATCGGCGTTCATTGGCTGAGGTCCAAGCGTTGGACTATGGATCATTTTTATCGACAAAGCTAAACATCGGTATGTCACTCACAGAATGCAAGTGGCGACAAGTGCTCGCGTCTGTGAAGATAATTTGACGAATAGTTCGTACAGACAAATGCTACCTTCCGAGTCAGTCCAGCATCACGCAACATCTGCAGCTCGCCGCGAAGCTTTTGCCCACTGTTTCGCCAAATCTTCTACCTTGAACGGTTTATAGAGCTTCTCCACGAGATCTACGTCGGCACGCATATCCAGGGGGACGTACTCCACTCGGTATTCGAGTCGAGCTTTGTCCAATGTCTCACCAGTGCGAATGAGCACCATGAAGGGATTGACATGAGAGCGTAGCTCCGGAAAACGAGCGACACCTGCCTTGAGACGAACGTCGTACGAGGTGTATTCAGCAGCAGGCGCGCTGTATCCTGCCTCGGTGGACCCATCGTGCTCGTCGTTTCTCCGGTGGATTTGGAAGTTCCTATCGAACCACGCCTGCGGCAAGAGACGGTAGGTGAATTCATGCCTACCCTTGAAGACCTTCGTTCACATCCCACGAGTCAATGATTGCCGTCCTAGTGGTGAGGAAGTGGAACAATTACCTCCTTGTAATCCGTAAAATGCGACTCCGTTGGTTTGGCCTCGTCGTATTTTCTCTGCTGAGCAGCATCAAAATGTCTGTTCATGGCTTGAAGATCTTCAGTGGCTGGAAGCAAGACCCAGCCACCAGAATTGAACGCTTTGTGCATATTCGGGGACACTGTAAAGAACGAAAGTCAACTTCATATCTATCTTTGAATTTCATCACCGGTACCCACGAAAAAACAGATTCGATGTCGAGACAAAATAAAACGATCCATAGGGAATGCCCAGCGCATACTCGATCCTCGACGCCTACGCCAGGGTCGACATCAGTCAGTTCTTCGGAGCAGACTCGTGAATGATGCGCTTACTCTGCGACGCTTGACTTCGGTGTCTGTCGGGACCATCTGAACAGTATTTGGTTTGGGTTCTGTGTCGTTGGTGATCAAACACCTCCCCTCGGTCTGACGGATGCTGAGAACTTCCGCCAGCTCATACCGAACGGCGCTGGGAATGACGGCGGCCTGACCGGAATGGCTCATTCTTTCGTACAGCGTTGTGTTTCTATCACTCAACTGTTATTACCTGAGACGCTGTCAACCAGGATGGACATACCGTTTCTTTTCCGACAATGTGGTGGTGAGTCAAAGGCGCTTGACGCCACAGTTGTCGCCACGCGACGGGCTATTTGCTGCTGTTTGCACTTGCCTCGCCAATAGCTTTTGAGATTTGTCTTTCAATTCTCCAATCTTTCAACAGTGCCTTCACCTCATTCTGTTATATTCCTCCTTCAACGATGCGGTCTGCCTACTCCAGGACCATTAGCATCTGGATTTCGCGAATCGCGATGTTGTCATCCGCCAACGTCAGCCCCCTCAGTCCCTCAATCGACCCATTCGTTTTCTCGACTTCCGAACTCCCACCACGTCCACTTCGCAATGTCCCTCACTCTCCTAGACTTCCCAACCCTCGTCCGTACCGATGTCTGGTTCTCTGACGGCAACGTTATTCTCATTGCTGGTAGCGCTGCTTTCAAAGTCCACAAGGGTCAACTCGAGCGCCACTCAGAGATATTCCAGGATCTCTTCAGCGTCCCGCAACCGGAGGGTCAGCTTCTGTTCGAAGGCTGCCCGTGGGTTGAACTGCACGATTCGCCCTCTGACATACTGCATCTGCTTCATGCTCTCTACGACGGACTGTGAGCCTCGCTTGACTGGGTCGTCGTTCTGTCCCCCGTACTAACCAAGGTCGCTGACAGCTACTTCGACAAATCTTCAGGGGAGGATTTCCCGGATATTGCTGGAGTCCTTCGTCTCTCCACGAAATACATGATCGAGCACCTCCGACAACGCTGTCTCGTGCGGCTGACCACCGACTGGCCGTCTACTCTGGCTGGCTGGGACGCGAGAGAGAAGGTCGCAACGGACAAGGACGGACGGTATGGACCGAGGGAGGCATACCCGCACCCACTGCTGGTCATGAGCCTCGCACTGGAGCTTGGAATCACCGACGTTCTCCCTTCTGCTTACCTGGATCTTGCTCGGTATGGCCCGCGGCGGATCGTCTCGGGAACTCCCCTTCCACAGCCGGTGATCTGCGCCCCTCCACCACCTTCCGTGCCACGCACTGACTCGCAGACCAAGGATCCCCTCGACGGCAAGTCTCGTGTCCTCGATTCCTCCAAGACCTCCACGACCGACGAAGAAGACATCCTGGTCCCGTCGCACGCCGAACTCAGCGCCATCCTCCGGGGCCGCGAGGTCGGTCAACGCCACATCGCGATGTTCATCGAGAACGAGCTCGTCTCACGGCCGATCTCCGCGCGGTGCTTCAACAAGCACCACGACGCCGGCCGCGCCTGCCGCGAGTCGACGTACTTTGTCATGCTCAACATCCTGCGCGCCATCGGCGGGATCTCGCACGGGCGGGACGCAGACCCGTTGTTCACGCTCACACAGGTGGTGGAGATGCTCGGCCGGACGGACTTCACGGACGGCGTGAAGCAGTGCGGGTTGAAGATGTGCGCGGCGTGCAAGATGGATGTGGAGGAGTGCGTGGTGGCGGCGCGGAAGGATGTGTGGGAGCAGGTTCCGCTGTGGTTCGATTTGGGACCGTGGAAGGGGTCGAAGGAGGAGGTGGTGTTGGATGCGGAAGATTCAGAGGAGATCGCGAGAGCCATCTAGTCGTTTTCTTGCTTGCATGCTCAATCATGATAATCTATATATTGTTTGCATCCATATGTTACGTACAAATATTGAGGGAGTGCAATATGGGAAGAACTGTGAGGGCTTTCAACGCCAACAACGTCGGCTACTTCTTCCTCACGTGCCAGTTGTGAAGTACAACTGTGCGCTTTCCAGGGTGTCCTGAATGCCTACCTGGGCTTACATGAGTAACATTGACGTTCTGCGAAGAGGCAAAAAGCAACGGCACACTTGAAGGTGCTACCAGGGTTCGAACCTGGGTTTCGGGAAAGTGCTGGAGGGGGCGATCACGTGATCATCACAGTCAAAATCCCGAGTGATAACCACTACACTATAGCACCGATGAACGCGATTTCTCGTGATGTCGTCCAGTGATGGAAGTGAGACGCGCGAGGATTAACTTACCGGAAAGGCAGGAGGGAGAGGGCGATGGCAAACAAGGACAAGCAAGGGTGGTGCCTGTGATTCTGAGACTCGGAGAAGCCGTGCCCCAGCTGTTCGAATCCCCAGCGACGCCCATTCCTTCTTGTTTCCGACAATAACCCTACATAATGTCCCGCCCTCCCTCCAATCACGCGCCAGAGTCTCCCCCATCCATGTCCCGCGTTCCCTCCTACATCCAGTTCGTCCCAAAGCGAGCAATGGCCTCCTTCGACAACCTCGTCGTCCTCGCAAACTACGAAGAACGCCTCCGCGACGCGAAGAAAGCCGTCTGGAGAGACCGTGGCGAGAAGCCGGTCGAGGTCTGCGATGTCTGGGAGTGTGTTGAGCATGCGAGCCGTGGCGGTCTCAGTGAGTCCTCCTGCTGCCTCGAGTCAGCGAAATCACTTAACTGGAACGCCACACAGGGGCGGGAAGCCTGGCGTTTGCTATCCGTGCTGGAATCAACTTCTTTCTGCTCTTGACGCGAATGCACAAGGTCCCTCGGTGCGTTCTCTCTGACTTTGACATTGCCTCACCCTTACACCCCACGTAGATCGTATCGCCTCAGACTCATTCGGCATGCTGTGTTTGGAGAAGAACCCCTTCGCTTTGCAGCCATGATTGGTCCGTAACCCTCTCGTCGCGTTGACGATACTCTTCCTGACGTCATAACAGGCTCTTTCGTTGGATTGTACAAACTCATCCTGAACGCACTTCCTATAGTTCTTCGTGGGCCCGACGATGAAGAAGAAGAGCGTCAGTTCCGTGCACGTCTTCGTGAGAGCAAGCGTCCCGCGACCAACGAAACCATCCTGGAGGAAGAGTCGGATGATATGCCATCTGTCTCTCGCGTCCCCAGACCCGGCCGACTGTCTACCAGTGCCAAAGCCCACCAGGAGTGGCTTCACAAGAGAACACAGAGATGGTACTCTGTTCTTGCTGGCGCGGTGGCGGGCGCAATCGCCATTCGTTGTGAGAGTTCTGACAGGCGTATATCTATCGCTCAGCAGATGTTTGTTCGGTGAGTTCAGTATATGGACCTCGAATGCAAGGTGGCTCACAGGAATATACAGTGGTCTTCAAGGTTCTTACAACACCATCTCGGATAGAATTGGTTTCCGGATCCCTAACGGAGATGTTATGGTGTTTGCTCTTTGGTGCGTCTGCTGTCTCCCTTCTTGACAACCATACTTACGCCATTCAAAGTTGTGCTCAGATCATGTACGGTTTTACCATGCGACCAGACATCCTTCCACGTTGGTACAACTCATGGTAAGCATTTCGAGATTTTCAACCAAGTACCGATATCAACCTTTTCTCTCTCTCAGGATTGGTATTGCGTGCAAGGTATCCCCTGCGGGCACTTCCATCAACCGGACGATGACCAGAGAAGGCCGATTCAGCCTTGCAGATATTGATAAAATAATCAGCAGATCGGTGAGTGGCGTCCTCCAGCTCATCACAAGTCCCCGCCAACTCGATTTCAGGACATCACCCCAGGAAATATGACGAGACTACAACACGCGCGTGATCTCGCCACACTCCCAACTCCGTTCTTTGGGCCACCACTCCCGCCATGTGCGGCCATCCACCCTGCGGTCGACTCGTGTCTCTCGGCGCAACTTTACTTCTTCGGAAAGGTGTTCGCGTGGATGTTCCCGATCTACGGGACGCTGCATCTCATCCCGATGGTGCTGTTCAAGAGGGAAGCGATGAGGCTGAAGCCATTGAAGATGTTCATCAGGGCGTTCTTGGGGACGACACGGAGTTCGGCGTTCCTTGGGATCTTCGTTATAATTTATCACTGTACGTCTCTTCATCCCATCTGTGAACTTCTTCCCCCACGGACCTGACACCCTCTTTCCCTCGTAACCAGCATGGCTCTGCAGCAAACGCAACATGTACCTGACATTGAGTGCCCTCCGGTCCTCCATGTCCCACACCTTCCTCGGAAGCCTCGCCAGCGTCGTCCCGCAAGCGTTCATCAACTTCCTCGCGTCGAAACCGGCGTACTGGGTCGGCGGTATGATGTCCGGCTTCGCGCTGTTTTTCGAGGAGAAGAGGAGGAGGTCGGAGTTGGCAATGTATGTGCTGCCGAGAGGATTGGAGGCGGCGTGGGTTATGTTGAGGGGTAAGGGGTATGCGTTTCATACCGGAAGCGTTGGGGATGTTATTGTGCGTGTTGCTTTTTTTACATCGAGACGTTGAGTTGCATAGACTTACCTGGTGATTGATAGTTGACTTCGTTGGGTATGGGCATGGTTATGGTAAGTCGTGTTGTCTTTACCGTCGTCGAATGCTTAACACTAATGCTATACTCCATAGGGTATTTATCAGGTATGTTCCATTCGATATATTTTTTCGTTGTAATCTTCTCTCATGACACCCCCCAGAACGACCCGGAACACCTCTCAGGACTCGTCCGCCGCATCTTATACCAATTCGTAGGACCTAACTAATCACCACCGCACGCGCATCATCGTCTCCAAGTACCCTAGCATTCGTTCCATCACCCAACCCCACACACGCACACGCACACACACACACCACTCTCGTTTCACGCAACCCACGTAGACAATTACCCTAGTACCCCCTTCAAGGAAATACATAGTATGTATCTGTTAGTTTATCTGGAATACATAACTCAGATTCCCGTTGTAAGCTGGTTTTCTCCCCTCGCGTTCCTAGATCCCTCCACCCCACGAACTCGGAGCCTCCCTCCCCTTGGACCATCCGTGAAAAAAAGTCCAAGCTTTTTTCACATGCGGATGATTTCCCCCCAGATTTCATCTCGGCGCTTTGGCCTACTACAGCTACAGTCCGCGGGTCCAGGCTTCCCCCACCCAAACCCTTTGTCTCCTTTTCTTCTCCCTTTGTCACAGCAGGAAAAACAATGGGGGGGTTAGCCCGTCGCGAAGGTTTGGGCCCCAAGGCCGTATGATCGGTGGGCTGGGCGGCAGAGTTTGTTAAGTTGAGTGGCGTAAGGGCTGAAAAGGTCTCATTGTTCGTCCGTCGCCCCGGACCACGTTGGAAGATGGCTTGCGTCGCGGAGTTGGGAAGATGGGTACTTTGGCCAGTGGTGGTTTTCTTTGATATAAACGCTCTTTTCTGTGTCTCCACTGTTTTATTCTCTTTCGCCCCCACTGCTCTTCAGCACGACTCTACTCTGCGACGCGACTCTCTATGCACGACAAGATGTATGCAGAGAACTCCGAGTCCAATAGTGAGCAGTGTAGTGTATTCTCTGTCTGTGCTTGTTACTCAAAGTCTTTGAAGGGCCACTCCGCGTCGAGCCCGAGCCTCAATCCCTCGTCTCCGCCCAGAAGAACATCAACACGTACCTTCCCATCGAGACGTTCCAGCAGATCTTCAGGAACATTCTCGGAGAGATCAAATCCCTGCCGTCCTTCCTGCTTGAAGAAGACCCAGAAGAATGCGAAATAGACGACGAAGGTGACATCGTCGCGTCCGGCGAGTACATGCGGTCCAGGGCGCTCTACAGTACCATCTCCACCCTGGTTCTCGTGTGCAAGTGGTGGAAGGCGATTTTGGAGGGGATGGATGACGTTTGGGCCCGTGTGGATGTGTGCTTGCCCGCAGGCGCGCAGCGCAGCCTGCTTCACTGTGGAGACTCGACGGCTGTGCAGCTGTGCAGTACTTTCGACGAGTGGCCTGTGACTGTGGACTTCCACGCTCCGAAGTTCGTAGAGGCCTTCACGGCGCGCTCACATCAAGTCACCTCTATCTTCTTCGTCGGCGGGGGATACAATCTGTGGTGGTTCTTGAACGCTGTCAATGGGCTTAGGTCTTATGGGATCTTGCAGCAGGGCGGCGCGTTTTCGAACGTTCAGGAGATGTACCTTGATAACCGCACGTCGGTCATGCCAAGGACCGTGGATGGCCAGTGCGATCTGTACCTCCCGAACCTCCGCAAGATCACCCTCAAGAGCATCTCCCTCCACATCGTCGGAGACTTGCCCAAGGTCGAAGTGGCGAAACTGTCGTACTACACCTTGGACGCGTCGCATCTGGCCCACGCGATCAAGTTCATCGCGCGGATGCCGGCTTTGAAGGATCTGGAACTCACGTTGTTTAACCATCTCTTGTGGAGATACAATTTCGACTCGCGCGTTACTACTCCGTTTGAGCTTCAGCACCTCACGGCGATTGTCGTTGACGGGCTCACGTCGGACATGGTTCAATTGGTGTTCAACACCATCGGCATGCCCAACCTCGAGTCCACCAGAGTCCAAATAGCCGATCTCGACGAGCACGCCTCCTACATGCACACCGGACTCTCTCGAAACCCAGACCCCTTCCTCCATCGATTCCAAGAGTGTCGCTGTCCCCTGACCATCACGTTGGAAACACAACAGTCCCCCGTACACGGCGCGTCCGGCACCGTGTGCACGATCTCCCGCGCGTCGATACAGTACCCCGACGTCCCCCACCGCGCCCCGCCCCAATTCTGCGCGTGCAACTGGACGTACACGATCCGGGTCCCCAACCCGAACGGCCTCAGAGACCTCGTGCGGTCCCTCAAAACCTGCGGTCCCGAGGTCCTCACGCGCGTGATCAACCTCCGTCTGTCCGTCTTCCACGTGTCTTACCTCTTGTCGGGGACTCAGAGGGAAAACGACTTCGACGAGCTCCTCGTGGCGTTGTGCTACCTCGAGCACATGACGCTCTTTGGCTTGACGCCGATCTCGAAGCACCACGACGACGACGGGTCGGACGGAGAGTGTTGTTGTGTTGACAATCCTTACTCGAAGGAAGCACGCAGGACGAGCGAGGCGGGGAGGGTCGTCATGAGTCTCGTGACACCAAGGGGAGGGGAGTTTGTGTGTCCTATGCTCAGAACGGCGGCGTTTGGATTTTGTGAGGAGCCGGATGTGGACGGCGCTGTTAGCGATAGAGA